CAAGTGCAGCGGGGCTGCCGTAGCAAAACGCTTGAGGAAGCGTACTTTAGGTCACCGACCTGTCGTTCTTTACAAGAACCAAGTATGGGTTGGCAAATCGCAATCCGCTTACTCCAAGAGTGATTATTGCATTCCCAAGGCTAATCGACTCTTCGGTTTAAATTTCAAACATATGTTTATTTATATTTCTATCCTTATTTTGAAAGTTTAGATTTTCTAAATATACTAACTATATATAGTAAAATCTAAATACACGCATAACTACTGGCTACCTAGCCCCGTACGATGTTTAATTTGGGTGTGGTCACATCATGCAAATTTCGTGTGACACACACACCCCTGCTATTACGGTTCGTGTAACCCCGTACAAGAAGTGCCTCCAAATTAAATTTAACGGAATTGAGGAATATACAACTATGCAAGTTATATAGTTAAACAAAACCTAGGTTGTTCACATAATATGTGCACGGAGACTGTTCATTGCGACCACCACCTGAAAGACGCAGCTGGTTATTGTCCGCTCGTGTTCGCCACCACGTCCCGTCCACAGCAGAATCGATCGATCGAAAATGGCCAACGGCTTTACCGGGCACACGCCCGCCAGATTCTTCAATCCACGTGAGATCTTCTTGCTTTCGCCACATCGGAATGTTCCGGCATACCTGTTTGTAATGGTGTGCTGCCACAGATCGATGACGAAGATGAATTGTTGAAACTTCTGTTGCGGCAACCGGCCAGATGTATTCGTCCTTGAATTTTTCAGATCATCTGTGTAGCGGGGTGGTAGATATTGTATTTTTAGGGCTCTATACTCTCATCGGAAAAATCAATTTACAAATATTAAACGCAGCAACCCATCTGGAAAGTAAAATGAAAAATTGAAGAAACTAGGCTCACAAATTGCGCTTCCTTTGATGCCCTTGGCTTGGCGCAGCTTATCACTTAGTCATAGCTACTCCATGATGGTATAACGACGATGACAACCTTGACACAATTACAGGTGACTGATGTCGCAGGCGAAACTGTTACCTTTTTCCACCAGGGCGAGCTTAATACAGGAAAGTCAAACCGGTAAATGCTCGCTGTTGCGTGTATCACTCAATACCTTAGGTGTTGTATCTGAGCACGACGCGCATAAGATCACTCTCGAAAGTAACAGATAAAAATCTCATCGACAATCATATGTAAAAAGACTGACTATTTGAAGCTTATTGTGCAGTTGATGGGCACAGGATCGACTGACAATCCCTCTATTGGCAATCGACAAGAGATCTTAAAGTAGCGACGTCAGTCGGACGAATGGTAGCTACTCGGCCATAACTGGATTACAAAAAATTATTGAGGCTAGTTGTCGACATAAAGGACAACTAGAAAGCAATCTGTGATAAATTTGCTAATAACGGTACTCAGAGACTTGCGCACGAGCAGCGAGAGCGCAAATTTCATATCATCATTCCTTACACCATATCACCGTTCTCAAGACTCACTAAGTTGAGGAAGCACTGACAGGGCAATTCCGTCATATCGTTGTGAACAATCCCGAGTTCGCAAGGATTTGTCAAAAATAGCTGCTAATCGAGTAAGAATTGCAACTCTTGCTTTTGCATGATTTGCCCCATATGTAGTAGGTAGCGTCAGTGAGGCAAGTGCCTTTTCAGTAGGATACTTTCAGTACTACTATTCTGCAACACACTCACGACGGCATCAACGTGAATTTATTACAACGCCTTTTAATTTTACTGACTATTGAACATTAAAATGCAACGTATCGGTCGGAATCTTCGATTTATGCGTGTGTTACCGCTGCGTCCACTTCCAGCCCGATTTGGTGCCATGTATTCCACAGCCGGCGTACAGCAACCTGGCTGGTTTAACCGTATGCTCCTCACTAATGAATACAACCTGCCGCGCTTGCCTGTGCCACAGCTCGAGAGGACTGTGCAGCGTTACCTAGAGACTGTGCGACCATTAGTGACTACCAAAGATTGGGAAATACACTCAGAGCTAGCAAATTCTTTTAAAGACAATGAGGGTCGCCAGCTTCAAGAAATTCTACTTAAGCGCGAGCTTAAACAGGCCACGAGCCGCTCCTACCCGTTCAGCTACATTGAGGAAGAATGGGACAAAATGTACCTTGAAGGCCGCTATGAGAATCCAATTCACGTAAACCCTTCTTACGGTCTAATCGAAGAACCAGATGGAAACCTTCAGGGCATGGTGTCTCGTAGCGCTGCCTTTGTGCGCTCCATGGTCAAATGGTGGACTAAGGTCAAGAACAGCGACCTGGAACAGGACAAAAACCAGTGCATGGCAGGTTTTGCGCGTCAGTATGGCACAGCTAAGGTTCCCAAGAAGGGCAGTGATATACTTAAGTCTCACCCGCGTGCAACGCATATCGTGGTCTTGACAAACTTTGACTTTTTTAAGCTGGACGTGCTCAGCCCCGATGGCAAGCAATTACTCACTCAGAGGCAGCTCGAAGAACAGCTTGATTACACATTGAATTCGTCGCTCCTGGACGATTACAATAAACTGGATTTATCCACACTTACAGCAGAGAAACGTGACACATGGGCACAAATTCGAGAAGATCTGGTGATGCACCACCCATTGAATGCCGAGACGCTCGAAGTCATCGACTCGGCGCTGTTTATCCTAGTATTAGAGCATCGCAATCCTTCTGATGCGAGCCAGTGTATTGAATTGTCATTGCATGGACAGGGACGCCATCGCTGGTTTGACAAACTGCAAGTAATGGTACAGCCGAATGGCCACTTGAGTATCAATTTTGAGCACTCTTTTTCGGACGGCACGGTCTGGAATCGCTGGTTGCAAGAATGTTGGCATGATATGCGTGGCTCTGACTCTGGGTTTGCATCTCTTAAAGAATTACCCGAATACACGGGTGCCACTAAGCCTAAAAAGCTTAGCTGGAAGTTGTCGAATAACCTGGTGGAAGAGGTAAAACAGGCTGAGAGTCATTTTGCCGACTTTGCTGGTAACCTGAACTTGGAGTATTTGGTGTACACAAACTTTGCGAAAAGCAACTGTAAGCAGTGGCAACTTAGCCCGGATGGAATCGCGCAAATGGCGCTTCAATTAGCATTTTACCGCACGCACGGAAAAATTGCCCCCACTTATGAGTCGTGCTCGACGCGCCTTTTTCATCACGGGCGCACGGAAACGATTCGTTCTGCAACTCCTGTTGCTGAAGCATTTGTCAAGAGTGTAGAGAATGATGTAGACAAGAAAGCGCAACGTGAACTATTATTTGCTGCCGTAAGGCGTCACGTGAAGATGGCTAAAGCGGCGCAAAAGGGATTTGGTGTTGACCGCCATTTGACCGCCTTAAACTCCATTGCTAACCTGTCCGGGATCTATAGCAAATTTCTAACATCTCCAGTTCGTGCCGAAAGCATGAGATTTCTAATCTCTTCAAGCAACGTCACAATGCCGTTTTTAAACTACTTCTCATTCGGTGCCGTTGTGCCCCACGGATACGGCGTGGGTTACCTGCTTCATGACAAGAGCATCAACATAAGCCTTACAAATTTCAAGAACAGCCAAATTTCAGATGGTGGGGCGATGAAATTGGCACTTAAAAGTTCGCTCGATACAATCAAAGCTCTTGCAGACTACCCTGTTCTTTAAACATGAAAAAAATGGCGAACCATTTAGTTGTGATTCATGGTAATGCCGAATAGTATATCATTCCTGTGGAAATTTACTATCGCTAACACAAATGCTGAATCAAACTGTTGCGCCTATTAACTTGCAGTAGTTCTTTTGGAGCAAGCAGCTTAGAGCTTGCTTGACAATGGCAATACAATATATCCCATGCATAAATTAATTGATACATTTTTCATCAAGGATATTTCCAAAGCTTCCGACCATTCGCGCATATCTATTCGCCCTGCACACTCATCTGCAAAAGACGTAATAGCGCAATAGCAACAACTTTGTGTGATGAGCGCCGAAAGATATTGATAAAACAATACATTTGATTTGCAATGATTGCGGCAGCAAAAATACATTGCTTGAAGGAAATTGTAATATAAACGATGTTACCACGTTCTATATCGTACTCATGTCTAGCCTCACCTGTGAACGAAGTTCGCAATGCGCATATCCTATAAAGCACGTTATTTGTGGTAGGCAATACCAAAAGTGGTGGATTTTCAAAGCGCCAGATTGGCCAGCATTACCGCGACGAACATCGAGGCAATTATCAGTGGTTTGGAATGCTGCATGGTCATGGCAAAATCGGTCGGGCATGTCGAGCAATCGAACGAGGCGTCAAAATTTATCTCGCACAAATCGCATGAGGGGCTACATTTCGGGCAAAAGCATGCTGACGATCCGTTGGTTAAAACCTGACATGCACCGATACCGCAATCTGTACGGGTAGTGCACGAGTCCTCCGTGGCGCCACATGTGTCGCCGGTGTAACCGGGCCCACAGATGCACTTTCCCGTCTCAATATTACATGTATTGCCATTTTGGCACGCCAGATCGTTAGTGCAGCGAGTGCATCGCTGATTGGGCTTACCCTGTTTGCCGTCATATTCTTCTCCATCAAAGCCTTTTTTGCACACGCACTCGCCATTAATACAATCACCACCAGTACCGCAGTCTACGTCACATGCATTTGATATTTCCTTTTCGCACTTGTCACCCTCAAATCCAGCGTAGCACATACAGCTGCGCTTATCAATTTTTTTCTTGTTCTTGTACGTGCAAGTGCCGTGGTAGGTGCACACCTCTTTCGATGTGGGAGATTGACATGTAGCGGGCTCGCATGTGCTGGGATCAGCAGCCTTATTAGCACAGTCTGACACATCCAAGCAGACAAATTGGCCGCTAACACTCTCTCCATCAATAGTCACAGTGTGCAGTGCATTGGAGTCGTCATCACTCCCAATCAAAGGCACATCTGTGCTTCCGCCGGATGCCGCGGTATCTGACGCGCTGCTACTATTACTAGTGGCTGAAGAGGCGTTCGAGGCTGCACCCATGAGTCGACGACCAGAGCCTGAACCACTTGATGCCAGTGATAGATTCTCTTCAGACACGAACACGCAGTGAGAGTTTAGATAGCCAATGTCTGCGCTTTGAAAAGACGGGCAAAGACCAGGCGTGGCGCCACGACAAGCTGGGCGTTTCGATGTATTAGGCGTACACTTTGAAACAACGTCACCGTAATTGTTAACAGTTATGCAAGCCGTGCCTGGGTAGTTCTTTTCGCAATACGTGTCCGAGTCGCAGTAATAGGCGGGGTCGTCGTCCGCCAGCACGCCTATGGATAAAGTGACAGTAAACAGAGTCAGCACGCGGATGCAGATCATTTCCGTGGTATGCAGGGGACAGAGAGTGTGGAAGTGCAAATGCCCAAGGAGGTACAGGGTCCGAAACCGCTGAGAGCGGACTTTACTGAACAGGCTTTGAATGTGGCTAAGCTCTTGCATAATATATTGGGCAACAGAAGAGACGCGCCACATTCAGAAAAAAATAATACCGGTACGGTAACGGAAGGTGCGCTGCAGAATGACGGATTTTATCACAAATTTCATGGTAAGATGGGCATGAGACTGCGACAACTCTAGCTTCACATGAGAAAATGCGATTGTGTCCGATCGCTACTTGCGGACTGAGGGCTTAGTCTACCAACTAGAGGAGGAAAATGCGTGGCAAGTAATAAATTGACTTGGTCGAGGCCACTTTGTTAAGGCTAAACTCCACAAATGAGAACATCGCGAGGAGGGTATGGGCCAACGAAATAAAAATTAATGATTCGGTACAAATCCGCCAAATCAATGGACGGCTGTAGAAAAGTTACATGGGGGTAAGAAGCAGGACCATGCTAAAGTATCATGATTAGTACTCGGTACGGGTTAAATTTACGGATAGGAGAGTCAAAGTGACACGTTGGCTATCTATGCATTACAAGACGGTGTTATCTTACAATGGTGTGGCAACACTGTAACAAGAAGCCACTACGTGGTGGGACTGCCAGTAGTTATGCATATGAATTAGGTTTTACTATTCTATTAGTAAACCCTATAAATCTAGGGTAAGGCGGCTTTGCACAGATTGAGCAAAAAAACAAAGTTTCAGTTTTGAGCATAAGAGTGCATAAACCTTGGTTTAAGGTTTTGGACACTCTTGGAGTTAGCGGATTGCGATTTACTCCACTCATACTGGTTCGAGTATAGAACGTAAGGGCGGTGGCCTTAGTAAGCTTCCTCTAAGCAAATAGATAAGGCAGCCCCGCTGCACTTGGTAGCACTCGTAGTCAATCTACGCCTGAGTCGTTATTCTGTGAAAATGGAGGAATACTCCTATTTGCCCCGGGGCATGCAGGACGGGCTTAATAAGCTGATGTTCCTGCTGGGCTATGAGGGCGTGGAGGACTTTGTTTTGCAAGGACCCGAAGCAATAAACGCGCGCCTATATCCGTTTCCAGCAATAAAATGCTCTGCTAGAGCACCTACAGCAAAATATGTTGGCGTCAACTGCGTCGATGATGCCACCGTCGACGACGGATAAGTCCTCCCGATCCAGGTCGCTCATGGTGAGAATCAAGACCTTCGAGGGTAAGGATGGGAAGAGTCTCCTGAACTGGGTAAGAGAAGTCGAGATGGCTACTGCAGCGGCGCCTTAGCTTTGCACTTTGAAGAAGCGTAAG